TCGGCAGATGTTGGCATCACTAATTTTGGGGTTTTCTTTTATATGCGCTTCCCCATCATTGTGGAAAATGGTGACTAGCACCTGGTCTTAGTACACCCCCCGCCTCCCCCATCCTATTTTTTCCCCCAGTAGCTCTTGTCAGCAAACACTAGATGGACATTTCTACACCATTGCATGCCTATAGTTAAGATTTGAATTCTTAACGAATTCCTCCACTAGGTTTCCCTATACTGTGGGGATTTTTCCCAATTGATGTGAGGTTAATTGGTTCATTAGATAACCATTCCTGTAATTTCAGTTTTAAAATGATTCCTGGGCTTGGAATGTGGAAATACCTCATTGCGTTGGGATAACAATTTCCTGCGTGCCCCCGTAACGCATGGCTTTTCCTGCTGTCGCGGACAGCTGAGTGTGATTGAGTGACTGGAGCCGGCTGAAACATGGTGTCGCCTTCCAGCCCTGTTCTTCATTTCTGCATTTCCTCCTGAATCCCCAAAAGGCTTTATTAAGACAGCTTTGTGGGAACCATTAACCCTAAGCTCCATAATTACGTTACTGTGAGCTTTGACTTAGTTTATTGGGGGGGGGGGGAAAGCACGCGTCTCTACAAATTTATATTCCTCAATGACAGAATTTTAACTTAGTGAATGAAAAGGTTTACTCAATTTACCTGCGAAGTTATAGTAATTAACAGCAAAAGGGTTTACCTGCAGAACTACTGAACACAGTAAAATACGCTCTGTGAAAACATGACACTCTTAACGAGCTGCCGTGTTATTACGCTTGTTCTTCACCTTCCAAATTGCAGTTAAGGCTCTTATGTACTTAAAGAAAGGGATGGTGTTGCTGTTTGGCTTGCTTTGGTTGGAAGTGGGAAACAATATTTAGCATATTTGTCTTTATTTAGGGATGTATTTTATTTCATCCTTGGGCAATTCGGAATTGCATGCGTTTGTTATGCTAGATATCAGGCCAGGCTACGATTTTTTTCTTCTAAGTTGTTTTTTAAGGCATTAGTACAAAGAATAGCACAGTCAAGGTAATCCTCATGCCAGCGTTTGTGCAGTACCTGTGGGACTTCACTCTGTGTCGCATTTTAGGCCACCTCCCTCCCCCTCCGCATCCCCTTGCTAAAGCAGGGCAGCGTGTCCCAGCCTCGGACAGCACGGCCTTGCTCCTCTCCCACCCTCACAGTGCCCGTGTTCTATCGTGCGATGAGGAGGTGGCACGAGAAACCAGCCTTTCCACCATCCTCTCATCCTGAAAGCCCCACGACACTTTGTGATCTGCGACAAATGCTCAGGTTTCTGGGGCGGATGAAGAGGCGAGCTGCGTTTTCCCAGATTTTGGCGGTGCACTTCATCCTTATTTATGTTACTGCTGTTGTAAAAGGGGTTTGGGGGGCTGGGGGGAGGAGGAGGAGCAGGGCTGTATGTCTTATTAGTGTTCTGACTTTTTTCATGGGTCTAGCCTAGGCGCTCACGCAGTTAAACGTGCCTCGTATGGTCACCCTGCCACAAAGCTCACAACCTCTGTGGGCAAACTCCCGTTGTAGGCTCTGTCTGTCCATGTGACCACTACAGACCACGCGCTGTTTTTATCCCAGGGAGGAAAAACTGGCACCTCCCCATCAATTAACTGGTTTTCACATGGGCTATTTTTTGGGGGGGCTCACTGAGCCCCAGCAACTTGTGCATGCAGTCAGGGATCAGTGTGCTTTGAGAAGTGCTGCCTCTTCAGTCCTTAGCACTCGTTGGCTGCGGGTGAGAAGCTGCTCAGTCGGCTCGGGTGGATGTGGCTTTGCAGTCAGGGGGATGATTTCACCGTGCCTCTGCCGTTCAGTTTATGCTGTGCAATACTCTCTGCTTTGGCTTATTTTTAACCCTGGCAGCTTCTAATAAGTGTCACATAAGCAGCTTCGAATAAGCTGCTTAGGAGCTGTTTCTACTAAGTGTCTTTGCTTTGGCTTTCCCATTCCCAAAGAATTCCACGCTAGTCTCTTCCCCTGTCTTACCGGCTCTCATGCTGGCCGTGCGCGTAGCTGTAGCCTGCCGCTCTGGAGTTAGCAGCAAGCCAAGGTAGTAACACTTTTAGGAGTTTTTCCTTTTCCTGTTGTGTGGTTTTTTTTTTTTTTTGTTTTCCCTGAAGACAGAACTCAAACATTTTGTCATCTCAGATTCTCTGCAAATGCAGCCTATTCTCTCATAGACAATCCCTTTCAAGTGTTATTTTATGCAGTGTTTTTTTTCCATTTACAGTCTTTCAGCCATCACTTTAAAAGTGCCTCTGAAGAGTGGCAGGGGTAACCGGCATCTTTTCCTTCCCTTGTCAAATGCAAATCTCTCACCTCCCAAGTGTGAACATACAGAAGTCTCTTACTGGCTTTTTTTTTTTTTTTTTTAAATAAGAAAATTAGGCCACAGTTAGCTAAGCAGAGGGACCTGATTCATGCTGGATCAACATGTTATCAGCTCGGGGTTGTCACTACCAAGTAAGTGTGGGGAAGTCTGCCTGTTCCAGCTAAAATCAAAGCAGGGTCTCTTGACATGCAGCGGTGCTGAAGTCAGCGGATCTGCAAAGTGGGCAGATAGTGCAGACTGAAGGGTCTCTTCTGTGTGTACCTAACGACCAGTGCCAACCTTGTTACTTATAACCAAACACTTTTTGTCCTACTTTTACTCAGGAGGACATGTGAGAAAACCATTCAGATTTTTTGTTGTTTTTTGGCTTTTCTATAAAAGACACGGCTTTGTGAGGTATACTCTAATATTTCCTCTGAAGTAGGCCACCTGCGAGCTCCCAGGGAGCGATTCACATTGCTGAGCTAGCAGGCGAGGCCATTGGACAGACTCAACAAAGATACTGCCAAACTGTGCAGCAAATGGATCGATACCAGTGCAACTGGATCAGTTTGCTGCTTCCGACAGGAGGAGAAAAGCAGTAGCACAGATGCAGTATCTGACACACAGATTTAAGAAACAAATATAAACACACATACACACACACACATTGGGTTGGCTTTTATTGGAAAGCCCAGATGCAATCTATAGTTATCAATTTGTGGAAAATTCAGGACACATATAAAGTTAAGAAGGCAAATGAAAAGAACAATACAAATCAGACGAAATATACATCTCAAAATATCAGGATAGCATTTTGACTGGCATTGCCTAAAATACGTAGAATCTCCTTTCTTTTTTGTAATATGCTTCTTTTAGTTATACATTTTTTTTTTTCTTTAAAAAGATCTTTTGTTTATATATTCCCCAAGGTCACTATTTCCTGCAGGAGCATGTCCAGATCACAAGTCTTTTTTAGCAAGAAATAGGCTCATTATACCTACTAACAAGGCCACTAATTGGCTTGATTTGACTTTATCTAAAATGATCACCAACAGATACCATAATTTGTTGCTTATTGGTGCCAGAACAAAGGAGAAGGAACTGGTACGCATCAAGTAGATGATATATTTCATTGTTGACATGTTATACAAGCTTTTCATATTCAAACAGAACAGAAACATTTGACATAATTTAGAATATGAGCCTATTTCAACAGAGAGCACTTACAGCATGCTAAATACAGTGCTGCGGAGGAGCCACCCGACAGAACTGCAAACACCTAGCATTTCACATCTTCAAAAGGAATACGCAGGTCAATGACACGCCTCTGGGGTCTGACACATCGTCCTCTCTAAATTTAGGGCCCTCAGGGGTAAAAATCCTAACAACTAATCTGTGCTTTCATTCTAGTAGATGATGAGCATTCGTTATACGTGTAATTAGTTCTGTATGCTCTACCAAATACACACGTACAGTAACAGCACTGATACTGTCGATCCGGTAGCGGCTTGGCTGGGAGAAATTCAGATCTGTTTATCAAACAATCCTAATGTGCAATTTAGAGTATGTAATACCATAGACTCTCAGAATACAAAGCAGTTAGAAAACTATTTTTATTACATCCACTTGAACCATTCATAGTTAAGACACGTTCACTTACTATGTTTCGTCATTATAATACATGGATAGAAATACTGTGTATATTTCAATGAACATCAAAAAACCCCAATTTTGTCTCATCTTAAAAATATTTATTTTTGTGGCTGAATTTAGTGCTCGTGAGAGTAAAGCTCTAAGAATGGTTTCAGCCAAGACGTAGAACAGATGCCACCACAGGCTTCTTACAAGGAACCAGCTGCACACTTCAGTCCTGTCCTGCAGCAAATATACTGGGCCTGGGAGCAGAGCGTGCCGAATCTAGGGAGTGGTGTGGAGATGCGGACTAGGCACTGGAATTAGACCTTCCTCTCCGTCCCCAGGTTCAGCGTTCACAGCCGTGGGGTTTGATCTGCCGGCCGAAGGCCAGGATGTGAACCCACTGAACAGCCTGCCTGCCTAAAGAGCAGTTCTGTAGCATCAGGTCAGAGGTACGCTTCTTCTATCTGGAGTTATAACACCTAAAAGAGCTGTATTATACAGAAGACAAAGTTGACATAACTGGATGAAACTACATCATTTCTTCTTCTTCTTCTTCTACTTACAATTTGCCAAGCACCTGAGACACTATTCTCTCCATTGTGAAACAAAGCCTCGAAAAAAACAACAGAAACCCCACCTGGTATGGATAAATGTCCATTTATTACGTTAGGGCTGGAAAAAGACAAGGAAAACCCAACCTATTAAAGTCTTCCATCATAATAAACGAGACTGATTTGGTTACTGTGCCTTCTAACAATGACTGATGAAGTGGCACTGGCCTGGGTGACAGGAGAGGTGCAGGAGGGGAGGGAGCTGCGATCTGATTCAGCCAGCCACTCTGGAGTGTCCCATCCTATCAGCAGAGTGATAGATGCACAGCTTTAAACCTAATACAAAAATATTAACACTTTTGGACATTAGTCATCACTGTTATATCTCTACAATATAATCCTTTATACTGTACAGCTATAACATAAAAGGTGCAATTCCTTTTTCTTTAAAAAAATCACACACAGCACATGTTTTTATCGTTTTATTTTTAAGTATAAACTTTTTTAAACACTTTACATAAATTAACTCCTCTGAGACTAATATTTGATGTACAGTAAATCGTAATTCATATAAAAATCCATAAACAACTTGTCTCACATAATTTACAAAAAAATCAGGGTTTCCTTTGCTTATCTGCAACAAGGATTCTACTTGCCGTTTTCCCCCCGAGGCAAACCATGTTAGCACTGTAAAATCCATTATTAAATTCCCATGGTAGCATAAGTCACTTGTGCCAATGTCCTTTTAGAAAGCAGCACAGTTTAAAGCAGTTGGGTTGTCTATAAACAGTAATTTTTGCCCCACATTTTAAAATTAACAGATAATATACCACGTCCTATGCAGTGAGAGAGAGGGAGAGAGAGAGAGAGAGACTACTTCTCATAAGCAAAGGTCAACAATTCGGTAATATTTGGAAACACTGTATGGGTCTGTGTCTTAATTAAATACAGTGCCTCAACAGAACAGACAGCCTGTTGCAAAACCTGTAGGCCTTTTTCTTCTCTATTTTCTTCTTTTTTTTTTTTTAAACACTTTTCAGTCCGACTCGAGTGCAGCGATATGCATATGTAAACATATTCTTTAAAGCAGATCACCTTTAAGGTCATTGAGGAAAAAAAAAAACCAAACCCAACCAACCAAAACGTTTTGTCATTCGCAGTATCATTCTTCTGGAAGGCGCTCTTTTCCATACAGAGTCTGTTCGGATTGTGCCACAGAAAAAATCTGAGCAAAGGTGTAAGCTTAGGCTCAAGTAGTAATGCAGCAAAACAGTTTGGTCTCCTTTTTAGAAGACACTGGGACAGAGTCTCTTTGGCAGCCTGAGCTAAGCCAGTGTGTTACCTCTTTCCTATCTCACTTTGTCTGAGGAACTGTATATTGTTAGCGCTGTCTGCTAATTCTGGATATTGCTCCACAGAGAGTACATAGTACCCATCGTAGCCTTGTACCTTCCCAGCACTTAGCAACTGCCTCTTTTCTCCTTCTGTCCACAACCTGGCGCCTTCCTCTCCATCTCTCACTCTCTGTTGTTCTCGGGCCCAGGCGCTGGAAAGAGCTCGTTGCCTGGCTTGCTCCAGTATTCGGGCCTTCTCCTCGTCAAGCGTCATGCCGTAGCGGACGTGGAGCGCTAAAGCACCATACTGCATTTCAACGTCGGCAAACCTACGAGTCCTGCCGTTGACCACAGTGGTGGACTGGGAAACCGTGACGTTGATGCCGTTCTCCAGGGCCTTCCGCCCACTTGTCAGCCTCAGCGTCCCAAGGTCACTCTCCGGGGAGGTGGTCTTGATAAAATAGTGCGTGTCCTTTCCCTCAACGGTGAAATGCAAGTTTTCTAGGTAGTAGGCATTGTTCAGAACAGCTGCCACTTTAATGCAGTCCTCATTCGCAATGTTGAGCACGTTTGTCTGCACTCTGCCTTGGTTGACAGCGAGCATCACCCCTTTCCCGATCAGAGACTTCACTGTAGCAAACCACAGCCACGACTTCTCTCCGCTGGATTTCCGTCTGCTGACCTGCACTTCTGCCATCTTTCCCAGGGAAAGAAAAGCCTTTGCTTGTCTCGCCACTTGTTGTTGCACTCCAGAAATTGGCTGTAAACAAGAACAGACAGAAGTTTTACCAGCCATCTGTAGCCCTTTACATGCCAAACAGCCAGGCTTTCTTGGTGCGCTGCCCGCGGACGACAACAGGATATGCCACAACTGACAGTGCCAAGGAGTTAATTAAATCTACATACTGCTTGTTCTGCTGAGTTACAAGACTGTTTTGTTGGATAATGTTCAGTGCTTTCTCTCTTTGTCTCCCTGCGAACCTGCACAAAATTAAGATTTAACGTCAGAGGCCACTTACGGGGCTGCACAGGGCAGATCTTTGCAACGCCGCTTCTGAATACGGGTAAGAGCTGGCTTACTACGGTGTCACCTCAACCTCCCCGCTTGCTTGACTGTGATTCCTGTCTACCAGGGCTCCATCCAGGCTGAGGAGATTTGTGCAGGTCCCGAAGCTGCGCTTTAGAACAGGAACAAGCCCTTCTTTGCGCTGCATCAGGAGACAGTGTCTCTCAGGTAGCTCCAAGACCGAGCTGCAGGGAGGCTCTCGTAACCCCTCCCGCTGCCAAAGAGAGCGGGGGGAAATCCCACTGCGATGACAGTATAGTAAAAGAGAAGGAAGCACATGGTATGGAGCAAAGGGGTGGAATACTGGGGACTGATGCCCTTTCTTGCAAGTAATTACAGAAACTGGTAAAAGGGGATGTGTGGAAAAGCTGTGGCCAAGTCAGTTGTGAGCTTCCCTTTCTCCCCCAAGTACCAGCATGCTGTCTAGGAGAGATGAGCACCTTCTCTTCCCTGGAACTTCGGTGGGGTGCGATCCTGAGTACAGCAGAGTGCTGTGTTGACAGCCAGCAAAGAGACGGGGCAACGAGTTCAAAGAAGCCACAGGCAAGACTAAAATATGCCCCCTTGGTATGTCACGTTTTACCGTATCGGGGGTGTTCTTGTTGAAAAGGTGGGTGTGCTATAAAGGGGAGGAAACGAGAGCTGCGATTGTGGGGTGCAAAAGCACAGGATCACAGAATCACAGCACGGTTTGGGCTGGAAGGGACCTTAAAGATCCTCTAGTTCCAACCCCCCTGCCATGGGCAGGGACACCTTCCACTAGACCAGGTTGCTCAAAGCCTCATCCAGCCTGGCCTTGGACACTTCCAGGGATGGGGCATCCACAGCTTCTCTGGGCAACCTGTTCCAGTGCCTCTCAACCCTCTTCGGGAAGAACTTCTTCCTGATATCCAATCTAACCCTCCCCACTTTCAATTTAAACCCGTTACCCCTTGTCCTGTCACTACAGGCCCTTGTAAAAAGTCCCCCCCAGCTTCCTTGTAGCCCCTTCAGGCACTGGAAGGTGCTATAAGATGGAAAAGCTAGGGTAGGAGAATCTGTTTCAAGCGTTTCCTTGACTGTTAAGAGCCACGTGTAGCCAAGTGTGCCGCACGGACTCCTGGTGAAGAGAAGGATAGCTGGGGAACAGGACCAGAGAGCGTACCGAACGGCTGTGGTTAGCCCCAACAGCTGGAAGGGCAGGGGCAGCTGGCAGGGAGGGTCAGCACATCTGGGCAGTGGGGCAGCTCGCATCACAGGCTCAGCTGTGGCTGGGGTGAGAGCTTATGACCGCACAGAACAGGCACATCTTCTCTGCCTAACCCTGGGTCTTAGCAGGGACGAGCTGCGAAGGAGCTAGTACTGACAGAGGTAGGAGCAGAGAGCTGCCCTAGCAGTTGTCTCAGCGGGAAACAGAGGAAGGTTTAAATAGCTTTGGCTGCACTTTTGAAAAGGAGTACTTAGTTTCTGTAGATGATCTGGTTTATCTTCCAATTGACCCCTTCTCCCTTCAGTAAAAATACTGTTTAAGCCACTTGGCTCACTGCTGACAAATGAGGCAAAAGCCTGTTTAGTTTTCACAAATTTCTGGGTGGGAGACCATGCAGGAGTCATTAACAGACTCCTACAGCCTTAATTCAGCCTTGCTGCTAACCAGAGCCTGGGCTTCTCTGCTCTGCCACAAGGGTGGCTTCTCGGAGGGGACAGTTCCTGAGGGAATTATGAATTGACTCGGACTCTCAGCTCTTCCTGAATGTGGCAGATTCCTGTCTGCACTTGCTAATACGTTTGGAGTTCGGCTGTTGTAAATCCCACGTGAAAGCTGTTGAGCACAGAATATATTCGAGGCAGCACGCTCATCAGCGAGAGCAGCAAGATGCTATAGCAACTTCATAGTGACAGAGTTTATTTATTTTTAACATTTATCCTCAGAGCTCTGAAGCAAAAACCTGAGAGCCTGGTAAAGCTCACTCACTCCAGAATGTTTTAAAATACTAAGTGGTTTGTCTGTTTACTTCTGGCTCCTGGCTGCATTTGCTTGTTCAGCAGCGACTATCATAGCCACAGCTTCTTCCTACCTGAGAAATTTGAATCTTGTGTTCCTCTCCCTTCTCTCTGTTGTGTCACATGCCCCTGGCACTCCTCACACTGCTGAGCTCTGTCATGAAGACGGCTGACAACTAGCTGTCTGCTCTCATCTCTTGGACCAGACCGGTTCTTTTCCTGATGTACCTTTGCTGGTGTTAGTGGATAACTGCATTTTTTTAGCCTTTGAGATCTAAATAAACAACCTCTGATAGTTCTTGACACCCATGCCTGATGACAGGTTTCATCCATGCCTGATGACGGGAGACAGTACCTCCTGCATGACCTGGAATACTCGCAGTGCTCCTCTATCACTGCTTCTGCTCATGGCCAACACTATCCTCATGCTGTGCTCTGCAGGCTTTCCCTGTTACCCAATCCCTGGCTATTAAAACGGATACATAGTGGGTCCCTTCACGCAGGCAAAGTTAAGTTGTAAGGTTCTTCACGATCGTATCCTCTTTTAATCTCCTAAAGTTCTCTATCATGATCCCTGTAAGAAGAGGTCTGGTTTTGACTGCTCACAACCTGTTTTACTGCCTCTCAACACTTCCCTCTTAACTGACAACTGTAGGGTTTTCGAGGCCATAGGTCTTTGGTCATCGAGTAAGTTTGAATTCTAAATATAATTTTCTTACCCAGCAGGTTTAGATTTCAACTTCCACATTTATTCCTTCCATCATTTAAAACTGTAGCGTTATGTTCAGGACCGAAATTCATTTTTTTCCTCCCAAAGAACTTCATAAGCACCTGGAGTTTTGCCTTTATGTAACGTAATGGGTTTTACCTCAGGTAATTTCACTTTCAATATTTTATCTTTACATATAAAACACGGTTAATATTAAAGAGAAGTAAGATTGTAGTGGTGCCTGGTATGCATAATTTATATCACCTCTTCTTCTGTTTATTTCAGTCTGTTTTTTAGTACAGTTTCTGCCTTCAGGCGGAGTGTTAGTACAGATCTAATCTCTCGTTTCTGCTAGGAAACGTAGACATCTTTAAAGGCTCTTAAACTTCTTTTCACTGATTATAGTTTTTCTGCGTTTTTATTATTGCTGAAGCAAACAAAAGCTTATTTAAAACGGTACCTAACTTAGCAAATCTGTAAGAGAAAACACCATCTGTAATTTCTTAAATTCTTTTGAAAGTAGATAAAAGGCAGAGGTTTGACGAGCACCGTTCAGACTTCACTTAGCAAGTTACCCTGTCAGGATTACCCCTGCCTAATAGGGTCTGAACAGAAGGGAACATTCTGCCCTGTCCCATTTGTATGTTTAGTTTTGTTTCTTACTGGTATGTCCTCCCATTGCTGGCTCTTCACAAGTTCATACGAAGGTTCTGTTAAATCAAATTTCGGAACAGGGAAACCAGGAATGGCGTTGTGCAGATGGAAGCCGAATGTCACCAGCCAGCTGTTCACATCTGAAAGAGAATCATTTAAAAAGAGAAAAGAATATTAGGGTGGTTCTATACTTTTCAATCAGACCATTTTTACGTGGAATAGTTTCTGGCATGGTTGATTTCCTTCAGCAACATGAAAATTATTCAACATCCTTCGTTTTGCCGTGGGTGGATGCAGACTGGTACTGCAGGTAGAACGGCACGGCTGCGCAGTGAGCTGGAAGTTCTACACTGACAAGGAAATCTCTGTTCATCTGACAGGCACTGCGGGTTCCATCGACTCCGATGGCCTCAGTGACCTCCAGAACAGCTACAGGAGCACGAGTAAAGGGAGATTGCCTTCCAATATTGCCTAAACTGATTTGGTTCTCATGGCCAGGCTGAGCACGCTCCCTGCTGCACCTCCATCATCAATACTTTAAAACAAAGTGAGAAAGAAAAAGGACTGCAGAGCACATCCTGCCCGTGTGTTACGTATGTGCTACTGCCACCTCTTCACTCTACCCTGGAAATAACACCTATACGGTCGGCTGCCTTTCAGATGATTTGGCAGATGGTTTAGGTTGATTCAAGAAAACTGCCCCCTCTTCAAGATGCAGCTGTACCGATGAAACTGCAGGCTCATGGAATGTGTTACAGTTGTACCAGTGAACAGACAGGGTACTCAATTAGCATTACAGAACATTAGTTACGATACATGCCATGTCCTGTTAAAAATAAATTAGGGATGCCAACAACTGATTAGTTACCACTTGTTGGGCAAAAATGGGTGTTCCGCCTTGTTTCAGTCTTTCTGCCCCCGGTCTTTCACAAAGCTCAGCAGAAGTTGGCAGAGTGCTCCTCCCCAGGTCTAGTAGCTTTCATTTGAGAACACCTCAAATAAGTGGAATAAGGAACCAGAGTTTTCCAAATGTTAAAAGAAGAAAAAGATAGTTACCTTAAAATAAATTTCTAGCCTCTCCAGAGAAATGCTGGATGAGAAATCCATCCAGAGAAATGCTACACCTCATGAGGCTCTGCATCTAAAACGGGCAGGCAGCCAAACTACTCTTCGTAAGGACAACGTCGTACGAGCGGTGCGTGTCTATCTATTCCATGCGTCAAAGATGTTAAGAAAAGAACTAAAGCTGTATTTTGAAGGCAATTTTTGAACTAAGTGCATCGTTTTCAATGCCACAAAGAATCCGACTGCAACTGCATCCCCTACAGCACATGCTGCTGAAAGAGGACAGACTCAAAGGTCTGTTATTATCCTTGCTCCCAGGCAGTCCGTTAGCAGCCCTGTTAATAGCTGCTGTTTGTTACATTAATGCAAACCCACTTGATTCCCAGGATGCTCTTCTGAGTGGCAGTCTCACAACTCCTAAGTGGTGCTGAGCCCTTCCTGTAGTCCGGCAGGGGCTGTGTAAAATATTCTGGATTACTTACACCTATTCAAATAGGAAAATTCAAGTGTATCTGAGCAATGCATTTTTCAGACATTTCTGGTGCCGTGCAATCACCAGGTTTTTCGGGGTGTAAAACAATGGAAAACACTACACATCGCGAACTGCAGACCCACAAAAAGCCTATCGGTTCCTTAGGAACTCAGTTATACAAGAAATGGCATGTTTGCAACTTTTTGTTGCCAAAAGAGAAATTCACACTCCTTTTCCTATGTCCTACCCCTTCCCTGCTCCTGGCTGTGTACTCATTGCTTTGGGCTGGCCCTGGAGCTTATCGGACATCTCTTTCTTAGCCAAATTACAGTAGTAGCCTTACAAAGACCTACCCTAGAAAATACCCACCAACTTCCAGCCAACACCTGCTGGTATGTTGATGAGTTAAACTGGTCATAGAGAGACCCCTCCTGCCCTTGCTACTTTATAGTCTCACTCCCTCTTGCCTGCGGTCTTTTTTACTGCCCAGTAGCCAAGAGCCACGAAGCAGCCTGCTCTAATCCACACACAAGGAGATTTTTGTGACTGGTCTTGAGGGGTTCTTACTCTTGTGCTTGCTCAGGGAGTCTGTTTTTCCGGTGTAAGAGCACTGGGCAATGTGTAACAGAGAACCTAGGGCTCCCCTTCCCTCTCCCAATGCACCGAGATCTCCAGCTGAGTCTCCCTGCGTTACAGTTCAGTCAGTGGGAGAGGAGGAGGTGTGTTCCACTGGTACTCCAAAGTGTATTTGGGAACACCCTCTGTATACTGAGATGCTCTGAATCACACTTTTGGGTCAACAGTCCAATGTTAAAGCACTGTAAGGACTGTGTGGGGCACAAGGTATAGGTTTAGTTACCTAAACCTGAAAGCTAATAGTGGCCTGTGGATCTTAATCTCTTACGCAGGTACCTAAATTGATGTGTAAAGCTAGAGGAGATATTTTCAAGATCTCCTCTTTGCTGTTTCTTTATTTCTGACAAGCTTGTTTGCTGTAATTACTCCCGCTGCTAAGTGCTTAAAGCTTCCTCATAAAGAACTTTGCCAAATAGGACGGATTTAGGTACTCCACCAAAATTGTGAATTCCAGTCTGAATTGGACGTCTATAGGTCCAGCATCCCTGAGCTAAAATCACTTTGTTGATCTCGTTCTGAGTGCCAAGTACTTTTCTAAACAATTATCTTCCCTGGGAGTTTCTCTACTAACCTTCCCCAGGCAGTATCTGCAGCCTGTAACCCAGATAACCCGATTCTGGATTATGAGAAGACAGAAAGGTACATTTGTGAGCAAGTGGGGGAGAGTCTTGCAATTAAGCAACCTTCGTTTACCTGTGATATAATCTTTCACATCGTGTATTTTACTGGCGGGGTTGTTATTTCTAAACATGTACAAATTAAAAGGGGCTGGATCCTTCCCAATTCTCTTCCAGATTTCAATATCAGGTGTTGTCCACCGGCCTGCCAGGATGTCATAATCTCTTTCTCCGAAGTGGACTAGCTTGGTCAGTGGGTCGTATAAGCCTCCGTGGAATCCTATTACCAGCTGGAAGTCAAGGTTAGAGTCGAAATAGATCTCTCCGTACGCAGTGTACTGAATTTGTTTAAGCATGAGACCGTTGCTACTGAAAACAGCCAGCGGTGTCCCCGTATTGTCTGATGCAATGTAAAACTCGTCCCCGCTGCTGATTTCCATGGCAAAAAGGTGTCCTTGTAGATCATAGTAGAGAGATGTGATTTCAGAACTTGAGTGGTTATACACGTGAGTTATCCTGGTTGGGTACGTAAGGTCTGCGTAAAAAAACTGGAGATGCTGTCCGAGGCTAGTTTTACTGGAAACTCGTCGCCCAAGGCCATCGTAACGGTAAATCACTGTCCACCCACTGCCTTTGCTATACACTCGGGTAAGAAGGCCCTTTGAACTGTATTCAAAGATTTCGGTACCCCGCTGACGCAGAAACCCATCTTCATCTAATCGGTACTGGACGTCGCCTAGCCGAGTTATTCTGTCCCTCAGGTCGTAGCGAAGCGGCGTCAAACGGGCGCTGCTACTGGGGTTGAGCAAGTGGAGGTTGCCATTCAGGTCATAGTTGTACCGCCACATTATTTTTTCATTCAGATAAACTGTCTGGAGCTGACCGTCTACATCATACTCGTAAGCGTATTTCGTGGTGTTGGCAAACGGCCCGATCTTAATTTCTCTTTTTGTCACTCGTCCCATGTTGTCATACTGAATTGTAATCCAATACATCAATGACCGAAATATCTCGTACTGAATTTCCTTGATGCGGCCGTGTGCGTCGAAGTGTTTCGTGTAGGTCATTACAGCTGTCGAAATGATCTGGTTAATATCATAATAGATAACTCCAAATTTTCCAAACTGTTCAACTTTGCCAGAGATGTCATCAAACTGGTAGAGATCAATGGGCAAGGGGGTTTCATTGATGACGCCTTGCATGCTAGTCACTCTGAAGCTGTTGTCGTAGCTGTAGTCAAATCGGGCATTTACCATTCCGTCTTCGCTAAAGCGGAAAATCTGCCTGTCAATCAACGGGCCAATCTGCCTGTATCTAATGGTGCAGATGAACCCATCGCTTTGGAGGTTTACTGTTTTCAGGACTCCTGCTGTCTCATCATACGTAAAACTAACTCTTGTACTATCATATAAAATTTCTGAGAGCTTGGTCTGCCGTCTGTACTTGAATAATACTCTTCGGCTTGTCCCCAGGAAAGCAGTTTGAAGGAGCTGCCCTTCCTCATTGTAATCCATTATCACAGAGGCATTACTTTCCGGGGGGTTGTAGATATTCCGGTAATAGCCAATGGAGCGGATAGTCTGCATGGTATGACGAGCAACGCTGGGCATGGTGACAGCGGAAAGCCGATCCAACAGGTCATATTCGAAGATGTACTGCCGTTGGCTATGAAGCAGAAGAACCATGGACTGAAAATTAAGAACAGATTTTTACCACGTGACAAACGGTGGAGCACCCCTCCCCCCCCCCACCATGTATACTGTTTCTTCACAAAAATGTGACATTCCCGCTTGAGAAAATTATCTCCTCTTTAATTGAGTTATCCTTGACCTTACATGTTGTTAAATTCTCCCTGCCTAATTTACTTGGATGCTTAATTGTAAGGGGTTCTGTAATTAGTAGTTCCACATTCATAATGTGCTACTTGTTATGACTGTATCACTCTTTTATCAAGCACTCACAGCTAAACAGCAGATTGTCAATGGATTCAGATAAGTCATGTTTAACATGGGGAGAAGTAAAACTGTCTTAGAGCCATTAACTCACGAGGAGAACAACATATGGGAGACACAATTTCTTCCCTACAATTAGAGATGGTTTTGAAGAATTTGGATAGCTTGAGATCCCCGAATACCGGGCTCTCGTTCTGTAAGACACAGGCAAAATAACTGTTTGGTTATTTATATTCCAAGGAGCTACTCGGAATTACTCTGACGTTCTTCTGCTGCCTGGCTCTTAGGTAGCATAGGTCGTCGTTAAGTCAGGTCTGCAGCGACTAGCTAACAGTATTTGCTGGGCAACAGCTCCCGCAGGAACGTGTTTAAACCCCCGAACGAAACGGGGTCTCCTGTTGCATGGCAGGCGTGAGATCTCGCATGGGGGTATTCACCGACACTTCCAGGGGCAGCGCTGCCGCTGGGCAGTCGTTCTGTCGAACGAAGGTTCCTGATCTGCCTGTCGTTTGGTCTGACGCTGCCACACGCAGCGAGCACAGATCGACAGCTGTAACTATTTAAACAAGAGCTTGGCTTGGTAGGGAAAAAACCCAGCAGTGAAGAATTTACAAACAAATCATTTTCAACTGAATTACACTGCAGAGAGCTACTCCCCGCACCTTATTTTAAGTGTTAAGATAAAAGGTAAATACAGATGCTTCTTATTAGTCAGCGGCCTAAATAATTTAAAGAGACATCAATTCCTGGCAATTAGCTACGGCGTGATTACATATCTATTGTATAAAACATTCCCCTAGGAATCACATGTTGATACTCAGAATAATTGAAATGTGCTTCTACTACCTGTTTTCACTTTGCATGCAGCAGGCAGACGCTGCAGAATTTCAGCATGTTCAAAGTGTGTTTTAAAACCCGAGTGCTCTTTACCTTTTCCAGGTAGGTGTAGCTCCAAGTTTTCCCGTCAGCAAAGACCCTAGACACTATCCTTCCCTGTCCATCATACTCTATTTTCTCACTAGTCGTCCCTCGCTGTATGCTGCCTATTTGACCTGTGGACGAGTAGGTGACGTTGACGGCCATCAGCTTGCTGCTGGGGAGCCACAGGGTGGGGTGCCCCGACGTGTCGTAGGCAATCCTCAGCAGAAATTTACGGTGGTCGTCGTAGATCTTTTCCGTCTTTGTGGTTCGATCAAAGTCAACTGAAAGGAGGTTTCTGCCATTAACCTTTTTAAAGCAAACAAAAGGACACAATAAATCAGGTTGGTCAAACCCTAGCCACTTCTTATTTCCACAAAGCCAGCTATTCTTTAAATACCACTTGCAGTGATTGATTTGCTCTGTGTGTCAACTGTTTTAGCAACCTGTTGATACAAATCTAGGGCACTACATTAGCATCTGCTTTAGAAGGTCTCACTGTAGGAAGAGAAGGCCCAGGATTTGTTGCAATGTGTTCTTTCCTGATGTTTAGTCAACTGTGAAGAAAGTACTGAAAGATGTGGGCTGAAAACCTGTGTAGCAAACGGGGCCATCTCAGCAAACACGCCCCTTCTTTTGTAGGCAGACCCCAGAATATCTGCCAGCTGTCGTCAGAACATACTCCCAGCAACCGCGTGTCCGGTTCGTAGCAATCACGCTAAGGAAGAACCGAATCCTAATCCTCCACGGCAACGCCAACATCTTCAAAAGCGTGCTAAACCTTTGAATGAAGCTTAAACCGTTTCTAGAACACAGGCTTTTCCCCTTCTGGGTCCAAGGGAAGTTCAACTCCGTACACCACACACAGCTGCAGTTTGTTTATGAGACCAGAGTCTTCAGTAGAGGATGATGTGTTCTGCCTGGCCATAACTGACCACGTGAAGCCATGGTGCTGAACCCCTGAAAACCAGTTATAAAGGCTCTGTTGTTCATAACTGGTTTAATTTAGGATGAAAGCCTTAGCCTAGACACATTTCTGTTGAGATCTGTGTTATTTATAAACTGCAGTGGTGGGTAGTGATTCCTATGTAAGAATTTTACATTGAGGTGTGTCCCCCCCGCTCCCCCTCCTTTAGTGTTCTAAATATCCGTTCAGTTTCACTGAATCAGCCCTCATTTTTGCATTTAGGCAAGGAAAACGACCGGTTTTCTCTTCCCACACCGGTATCTTCACAACTCTCTGTTCTCCCTCTGCACTGAACTCCTTTCTCGTGCTCTCAAACAGGCCTTCAGGATGCCTCTGTTCATCTGTAAACCATTTTGGCTTCTGCTGTGTCCCTCTAAAGTTATTCCAGGTGAGGGTGAACTATAACTAAGGTTTTTCAACACAGCGTTTTGCTGACATAGGGGAAGCAGGGGACAAATGGGGCATGTAGCTGTGTGTCTGAAGAGTTTCTTCAGAGTTCCTTTACGAGGACTTGATGCCTGTGTTGCAGAGAGGCGAAGTAAGATGGCTAAAAGGCCTTCAGAAAAGAGCATGGGAACAGGTATCCCGACCAAAGCGACGACTGGAGAACCTTTGCATTTCTCAAGACTGCATGTTCCAAAATCCACATATCGTGGACGTTGGTACTTATCCCCTGGGGCTCACAAGCTTCTAAAAGATCGATATAAAGGAGATATTTTGTTCTTGGCATAGGAAGTACTGAAGTGCTGGTGCTGGGTTGTAGGCAAACATGAAGAAACAGATCCTACAGATGCTCAGCTTGTAGCGACCAGCCGGTCTACCTACACTGCCTTTCTCCTTCTCGCTCTGAAACCCCTGGCCCCAGAGCAATCTGCACCACCAGCGTCAGAACAAAAATCATGGGTTCATCTTCTAGATAAGGAACACGAAGCCTAGCAGATGCAGAATAGCTACTGGATATATTTAGTGAGCCATCAAATGTTATTTAAGTACACTTTGTCAATCAACGCCCCAAGACTGATCCTAGAAGTAGGAACTAACTGTGACTTAGAACTTCACTATGAAGCATTCCGATTCACTTGCTTTTTGTTGGTTTTTTTTGGACTTTTTAATTTTCAGGTAACTTTTGTTTAAATTTTGCAACATTTAATATTCAATCACCCGCCTAAATTCCCTCTCAAATCTTGTTTATCTTTGGCTTTCACTTCCTAGCCTCTCCCACACACGGCTGCACTCACCTCTGCACCTCCCTGCCTGTTTCCTTCTCTGATTTTTTTGTTCCCCTCCCTTTCTCTCCATCTTCCTTAATTTACATTTAATTACGATTTTTATTAATTTTCTTGTCTACCTCTCAGGCTTAGACGCTGAAGTGAGAACGAACACTTCTGGTTTTGAACTGGCGAAGGGGGAAGGGTGATTTCCTGGTTAAGGCAGATGTCCAAGCAGTTGTGGTTCATTTCTTGGCTAAGCACATCCTTCCGGTGTAAATTGCAGCGAAGTACTTAATGTGGCTGTCTCACTGCCTTATCTGCTAAAGGGGATAATAACATCCCTTGCCTTCTCACTTGCCATCTGGCTGGTTTGTGTATGGGCAGGGCAGAGGGGAAAGAAAGGAAATGCCTCTTTTCTCTAGCCAGATTCGTGCTTCCCCATTCTGCTGACAGAGCTCTTGCTTTCAGACACGTGAGCTTCTGGTGAAATTCTGGCCCTGCCTGCATAATCTCGTACTGCAGTTGGCGGTTACAGTAACACCACATTGTGGTGACGGAGCTTCATCCACTGGACAGTACGGGGCTGGGATAACACATGGCGGCTGAAGTACTGCCTTCAGCTGAAGCATTCCTAACAACAGCTCTGCTACCAAAGTGCCTTCACAGCAAAGCTTCCGTGCTTTCACTGTGCCTAGGACAGTCACACTCCAAGTACACTTGAAACCTCTTAATTGCATTTTGATAAAAAACTGTGCTGGGCTGGCCCTGGCTGGATGCCGGGTGCCAACCAAAGGGCTCCATCCCTGCCCTCCTCGGCTGGGCAGGGGAGGGAACACGTAAGGAAAGGCTCGTGGGTCGAGACAAGGGCAGGGAGAGATCCCTCAGTAATTGCCGTCACAGGCGAAGCAGACTCGACTGGGGAAAAATTAGGTTATTACCCGTCAAAT